CTTAACTTCTTTAAGATTATTACCAGTTGATTGCTCCGTATTCTTCCCCGAGATTATAATAGGCGGGTGTCTTTAACACAGTTAAATACAGAACCATGTAATGGTGCACCACGTGATATCATCTTGGTGAACTGATAATCTTATATGCTTTCTCTCTTTATTACACTGTTTCAGCGTTGGTAACAAATGTGTAGTACTCATGTCCATGAAGTTCACGCGTTTGTTTTCATAGGCCACTCGATAACTACACGGTTTATGTTAACTACATTTTAGCAAATACACGGATTCGTTCTCTGAAAGCAAATAAACAGGAAGTCATCATCAGACTTTTTCGACCCTCTGCTGGAGGAAAGCCTTTAGACCGTATCATTAACTGTTTTCGGCGAATCTTATCTATCTGTGTCTAGTGGATATAAACACATAAGTCCAGCAGATTACTATTTATATCGTTATTCACTGCAGATACTGTAATGTTCTCAGACATCCAGAAGCACCGGGAAAAATTAGCTAACTTTCTAACAGATTGATCAGTTTAATATCTTCAAGACGTAAGTTTGATATTTAATGCTTTTTGACCATACTTATTTTCAGACTTCGTCGAAACAATCGCAGACAATGTCCATTACGAGAATAAAAGCTATGGCTCTGGACTGCCCAAAGTAAGGCTCATGTAAACAGCCCCAATAATTTAATCGTGAAATTTTAGCATCGATTTAATCGTGAGATTTTAGCAAGCGGTTGTGTATAAGCTGCTAAAAGCAAAATCGACCGTATTTCTATTACTTAGTTTGTGATACTGTTATTCTCATTTGTGCCAATTGCAGAACGTTACTGTACGGTACCTTACTACGTAACATTGCTAACTAGTACTGTATGGTATTGTGTACTCCAATGCTTTGTCCTATGGTTCATCATGCCATGGCGCAAGCTTAGTGCAATGCGTCATTATTCAGGGTACCATCGAATCTCGTCTTAATCTGCCATGTAATTTGTATAAATTAGGAAGCTCTGTCAGTTGCATTGACATCGGGCGCAGTGTATCGTTTGATGCAGTACAACATACTTACGCACAGGGAGTATTATCCAGCTGTATGCATATGTTGGTTGTCTTCTATACAGTTGCAACGTTGTACAGTGTTATGTACAGTGCACGCAAGTGCTTTACTGAACTGGTGATATAATACTCTATACAATATTCAGCAAATACAATACATGAAACTAGGGATAGGCTATTTAACCGAAATTCGGTCCATATCTCACATAACTTCTCAGGACAGATGCCAGATGGCCTCTACCGGTATTTCTAGATCACAGATCTCGGTGCCAGACCCAAAAGTTAAGAAGCAGACTGACCCAATCTGCCTTATGATTTCAACAGAAACACGACTTGCTATCTGCAGTTCTCAGCGTCGACTGCCGCGATACCTTACTTGAAGAAGTTCTGTGAAATACGCATCAGTTTAAGTTAATCTGCTCGTCTTGTTCATGGATTTGCTTTCTTCGTTGTTGTAGCAGCATAACAGACAAGAAATTTTAATCTGGAAAAGCACGGTACTGTTACTCTAATATCACATGACAGAGTGTTGTTTTTTCATATGCGGACAAACGTAATATTTGTCGGAAAGTTGAAATATCACAAATGATGCCATGCTAACGCTTTCAGTATTCTATCCTTGTATTACGGTAAGTATTATCGCTGGGTCGTCCGGCTTATTTTATTGACTTCTATTGCATTACTATGTTCGAAGCATGATACTTATGAAAATACTCTACCAGTATTTTATGGCAAGACTTGATATATGAGAGAAGTTGTTTCATACGTGAACCTTGGTATCTGGAAAAATTGTAAAATTAGAAAAGTCACAGTGTAAGTTCGAGCAAGATGCTACATTTCCACTACTGTAAGTGCCGCATTGAAATAAAGATTAGGTTGTCCGATTAAAAGATATCTTTTGAA